TTTGCTTATGCACCCATTTGCCTTCCGTGATCATATCGGGGAGGTGAGCACACAATGATATGATTTTTTTCTTCTAGCTAGATGACCGCATGTTTACATTCTAGTCTGGCTTCCTTCTTGTATACGATAATTACCTTGTGGTGGTGGTTCAGCTCTTTGCCCAAGGAACTAAAACATAGTCGTGTGGGGAACAAAAGTATTTAGACACTATTTTAAATGTAGGTCGATCAGAAAAATAGTTCCGCTTCCATTTTTAATATTGAAAATGCCCCCATATGCCCATAGTGGCATGAGGTGTTTTCTGTTGATTAGCAGCTCCTCTTTGAAAAGGATACTTAGAACCTTAGAAATGAAAGAAACTTGGATCATTTAGCTTAGTCTGTGTCTTCAGGTTCCTCGATATCAGGTTGGAGATCTTACAGAGCTATAGTAAAGGAAATCTTAAGTTCCCTAAGTAATTCATCCTAATAAAATAATTAATTTCTTTAAAGGCACTCTTTAGAAAGTAATATGTCCCCTGTAGAACAGGGTAGAACTGCCACAGACAGTTTCTAAGGCTCATTCTTATGGCCCAGCCACCGGCTGCACATTGCAGCAGCACCCCACTCGCTGTTGAGTGAGGGCTATGTAACTTTTTCATTCATTTATTTCATTCTTGCATTCTATCGTATGATCTGAAAATAGTCGTGACACCTGTGTCACATATATAATTATTAAAATGTTCTTGCCTCTGTTGAAAGGATTGTCATTAATGACTGAGTAGCAAGGCTGTAGATACAGAACTCAGAAATTCAAGGTGCTGCGGATGAAAAGGTTACCAAAGTAGGAGGGAACTACCAGAGAAGAGTTTTGAAAATAAGGAGAATGGATAGTGGTTGTCAATGCTACACAGGTGTCAAGGAAGACCCGCGTGGAGAATGTGCTGGGTTAACAAGGTCTTTCGTGACTGTGATAGGAGCCCTTTCTTTGGAACATTGTTCTGCTCAAGTTGGTTGCAACCCCAGGTGACCGATGAGTGTCAGTAGGACTGCGTCTTAGGGTTTCCAAGGCTGTGACCTGCTAGGAAACCTTGCCGGCCCTGTCTTCCAGTTCCCCTGGAATGGGCTCACAGCACCAGCATTCGGGTGAGTCGTCAAGCACTTGCACCACCTTGGGACTCCTTTCTGCGGATTCAAAGAAGTAAAAAGATTGCAGTGGGTTAGGGAGTGAAGAAAAGATGAAGAAATGGAACTGGTTTTCATTGGGTTGTTTGGTGGTAAAAACAAAGTTGCCTGCTCCATAGATGTTGTTCTTAAACTAATGTGACCATTGTTAGTATCTCCTTACCCCAGCGCCTCCTTCCTTCCTATGCCCTTTCTTGTCACCAATTTTTTAAAATATAATTATTGACTGTCATTTTGAACCACCCAGGTGTTGGATTCAATGTTTTCTTTGCTCTCAACCCTAATTTTACTGCAATTTTATACTCCTGACTTATTAATGTCCTTTTTAAAAATTCTGATGGAGTTAACTTCTTATTTCTTATTTGTATTATCTTGCTGCTTCTCTTATTGTAACTTGTTTATTGTTTCTTGTTTGTCTTTTTGGGCCTTACTGTTTCCACGGTTTCAGACCCTTTTTGCCTGAGAAGGCTGCAAGGGCAAGCACTGTCAGTAACCCTTTGGGTTAATTAGGCATTTGTTTTTCAATTGATTTTTGATTGCATGTTTAGTTTAATTATTTGGTCCCAGTTTAGAACCTTTGCTCTAAACTAAGATAGTTCATATAGACCTGTGATTTTCACTTTTACTTCTTTGCAGAACAATTTTCTGCAAATCTCTATTTTTCTAATCATTTTATTGAGGGCTCATACCACTCATCACAATTCATACATCCATCCGTTGTGTCAAGCACATTTGTACGTTTGTTGCCATCATCATTCTCAAAACATTTGCTTTCTACTTGAGCCATGGTAACAGCTCCTCATTTTTCCCCTTCTTCCCCGCTCCCCCTCCTTCATGAACCCTTGATAATTTGTAAATTTTTGTTATTTTGTCATATCTTACACTGTCTGACGTCTCCCTTCACCCACTTTTCTGTTGTCCATCCCCCAGGGAGGAGGTTATATGTAGATCCTTTCTACCCCACCCTCCCGGTATCGCCACTCTCAGCACTGGTCTTGAAGGGATCATCTGTCCTGGATTCCCTGTATTTCCAGTTCCTATCTGTACCAGTGTACATCCTCTGGTCTAGCCAGATTTGTAAGGTAGAATTGGGATCATGATAGTGGGGGGGAGGGGGAAGCATTTAGGAACTAGAGGAAAGTTGTATGTTTCATTGTTGTTATACTACACCCTGACTGGCTCATCTCCTCCCGAGACTCTTCTGGAAGGGGATGTCCAGTTGCCTACAGATGGGCCTTGGGTCCCCAATCTGCACTCCCCGTCATTCACAATGATGTGATTTTTTGTTCTTTGATTCCTGATACTTGATCCCTTGGACACCTCGTGATCACACAGGCTGGTGTGCTTCTTTCATGTGGGCATTGTTGCTTCTGAGCTAGATGGCCACTTGTTTACCTTCAAGCCTTTAAGACCCCAGAGGCTATATCTTTTTGATAGCCAGGCACCATCAGCTTTCTTCAGCACTTTTGCTTATGCATCCATTTGTCTTCAGCGATCATGTTGGGAAGGTGAGCACACAGTGGTATGTTTTTTTGTCTTTGATGTCTGAAATTTCTAATTTCTAATATGAACTCTGAAAGCAAAGTGTCTCCAGAGATCCAGTTTCTTATTCCCACATCTGTAGTACGGTTTACATTTGGTGGCCCACTGAAGTGCTTTAGTTACAGTGCACCCAGTGCTGTAAATGAGAGACTTCCTGAACTACTGTTAAAAACTAGAGCAGTTCTACTCTCTAGCATGTGGAGGGACCTTGAGTTATATGATCCCCTGTCAATGGGTGTGTATTTTTGTTTTAATGTAATTACTTAAATTCCACCATTGTTATTAGTGATCTGTAACTCACCATCCTGCTGTGACCTCTACCAGCCCTTGCTCAACACATAGTCAGCAGCAGCCCTGTAATTAGTGTGACTGCTCTCCTCACACCAAAGAGGTCTTTGCTTCTTTTTTCTCTTGAACTCCTCTTCCTTAGCCCCTTTCAATAGGCATCACATCATAAGGTGGTTTTACTCTCCATTTCTAATGATTTTATTCACGTTCCTCGCCTTTAGTTCTTATAGGTGCTAATTTTCATTGCTCTTCAAATGTTTCCCATTGCCTGTGGATTGACATGCACATTATCCTAAATTTTAAAGATCCTGAGGTTTGTAGGATCATAGATTTCAAAGAGTTTGTTTTAAATTTGTCATTTCTGAAGATGAAAGTTTCCAAAAAGAGGAGTTTTAGACATTTGTACTTCTTTAACTTTGTAACTGTATTTCCTAGGTATATACTTAAGGTTTCTACATTTCCTTTCGCCTTTTCTGAAGCACCTAATCCATGGACCACATTTTCTTACCATCTCCATGAAGTTCTGATGTCTTTGAATTTTCTCCTTCTGAGCTTGCCCTAAATGCTTAAATTCTTCCTCATCCTGTAAGATCAGTAGTATAAAACTTCATCACAGTCAAATGTTCCCAGTTTTCTACTTGTTTTTTTGTTTTTAATAGCAGTTGGGTTTTAATAACTTTAATTGTGAGTCTTTAACATTTAAGACAGAAAGTGTTATAGTTCATGTGTAAATATTGTAGGAAAAGGACTGAAGTTTTCAGAAAGGACATGAATATACTTTGTGGGGAGGTGTGGGTGAGCCTATTGTATTCTAATTTGAATAGATATGTAATAGAAAACAATTTAAAAGGACAGTTACATAAATTAGGTTGAAGACATGGAATTAATTAGACTAAAGGACAAATGACTTTAACTTTTAGTCGTTTATGTTGATCGCGATACTTTCCTTTTGTTCAGTCTTTTGTTAGCCAGTAGTAATTTTGCATGCACTATTTTAATGTTGATAAAAATATTTTTTCCTTTTCATAAAAGAGAGCTGTAGTACACATGGATGAGCACCGAGAAGAGCAAATTGTGCAGTTACTGAATTCTGTCCAAGCTAAGAGTGATAAAGATTCAGAAGCACAAATATCCTGGTTTGCTCCTGAGGATCATGGGTAAAAAATATATATGTGTGTGTTTGTGTGCGCACGGGCATGTAGTATAGGCTTTTGAAGAATGAGCAAAGATATTACAAACAACTGCTTTAGGCACTTTAGTAAGTGAAATTTAGCTTTGAAGTAGGGATCCTCCCCCTTTTATATACACATAGTAGATTTAGTAGAAGACAAAAAATGTAGATGATACATGGTCAGCCTATGAAATTTATTCTTTTTTGTTATATGTACCCATTGTTAGCATTTCAGAAATCCCCCCTGGGGAAAGGCTTATTGGAAGTTAAATATGTTGTTATTATTTTAGTAGGGTTTTAGAAACTGTATTTAGGGGAAAGTTCGCAGAAATTTTTTAGGACTGTGTAATGTTGAATTTATAGATTGGGAACAGTGATCGAAAGAAAATAAAGCCGTGAAATAAAACAGTCTTAAAAAGCAAAAGCTAATCAAAGCAAAAAATCATTGCGTCATTGCAGTGCTGCAGTGGAGGATGGACAACCCTGTGTAGACTTTAATTTCTTTTATTTTAATAACAAACCCAAGAAATATCTGGCAATATTTACTTAAAGAGTAGAAGAATTTCAGTTCATTATAAGAACTATACTTTATAGTTAGTCTACTAAGAAAAAGAATAAAACTTTTTCATTATTGGTGCTTTTGGAATATTTAAATAATACTGTGTTCTGGGTTGACTAGAGAAGTACTCATATGTGTATGAGAGAACTTTATAACAAAGAGTAATTGTACATTGAGAAAACATCCCAGCCCAGTCCAGTGCAAGTCTGTAAGTCCGTTATTAGCCCATATGTCCGATACCAATCTATAAATTCCTTTTCAGACTCATGCAACATATGCAATGGTGCCAAATGTAGGAAGGTCACAGGCCAGTGGGTGGAAAGTCTTGTAGATCCAGTGGTGGTGGAAGCATCTTAGTGCTGGTGTGGGTCTCCACATGGCTCCTTCAGCTCCAGGGCTCTGGCTGCATTAGCATATCTCCAATTGGCTCATTATCAGTAATGTCTAGTAGGGAGTGTCTTGTGTGTCCCGCCTCTAGTGAGCTATTTACCTCCTTAGTGCCTCCAAAGCGGTCATCAACCTGAAACCCAATTGACCGACTAAACTCCACCCCTTCACTCTACTCTCTAACAACGGATTACGTAACTACCACAAATGTGCTGATTTATTTTGTTGCAGGACTAGCTCTTTGACTTTTTAATTTTGTTACAATAGATATGGTACTGAAATTCCTACCGAGAACAAACCAAGCTCAGAGAAGAAACTTGAGGACCAGAAAAAGAAATTGATAGACCAAGAAAAAGTAACATTTAAAAGCAAGGACAGATCATATATTGATCGTGATTCTGAATATCTCTTGCAAGAAAATGAACCAAATGTAACCTTAGATCAACAACTGTTAGAAGATTTACAGCGGAAAAAAACTGACCCTCGATATATCGAAATGCAGGTAATAAGCAAGATGTGAAAAAACTTACTACTATTACTATTAATACTTACCATCTTCTTTTGCTTGATATAAATGTATTTACACTTTGAAGTAGGTCTTTGAGGTGTTTTCTCACCGGCATTCCATATGGAGATTTTTCCCCCTGAGTTTTTTTTAAGAGTAGTTGAGAAAAGCAGTGAGATAAAAATTATGCATACCCTACTGTCTACTTCATTTTCAGCAGCTTATGTAGTAAGGACATGAAATGTTCGTATAAAAAAAAAACTGGCTTGAGCTTAATTTTTCTAAGCCAGTTTAATGAGACATCAGTAATTACTGAGTCAAATTAGTTGCTGCTGAGTTGATTCCAATCAGGGCAAGTCTCTGAGTGGTGAAAATGGGTAAGTGCTCAACTAGGTACCAGAAGATTGGAGGTTTGAAGCCCATCTTGAGATGTCTTAGAAGAAAGACTTTGAGGTCACGTTTTCAAAGGTCACTAACCTGAAAACCCAGAGGAGCACAGCTCTGTTCTGCAACACGTGGGGTTACCATGAATTACTGAGTCAAAGATGTTAGAGTTATAAAGTTTCTTCCCTTCCTGGGAAAGTTAGGTGGCACACTCATGTTTACTGGCTTTAAAGCTTGAGCTATGTGAACACTACAATGCTTCAGTACTTTCTTTCCTTGTGAGGCTACATGATACTTGAAAGTGACTTCCAAACAAGAAAAACACATTTTAGCTTTGAGAACATGCTAGACATAGATGTAGTAAAAGGTTCACCTATTTTTATTTCAAAAAGAACTATTAAGGGAATTCTGAGGTCCACAGCTATAAATATGTAGTATGATTTTGGAGAAAGCATAATGACATCTTTGTAGGAAAGAAAGGATCCATAGATGTGACAGATGAAGAGTGGGGTTCTTGAACTGAGGTGGTTCTAAAGCCACCCTTTGTGGCTCTCTGTGATGCCTGTTAAATAAAAATATGATTTGAGAATGTAGGAAATTTCATGTATGGTCTAAAAATGAATTCAGAATTCAGAAAGGGAAGTTTCTCTGTTACTCTTAAGAACAAGAAAAGTCTTACCTTTGTGTCAAGATCATGGCTCAAATAGTCAAGATGGATAAGCTAGTTCAGAAGAAATTGGGGTGGGGGGGTATGTGTAATACATGTCCAGTCATTTTTGTAAATTCCTTAGATGTACTATATCATTGAATCTGCCAGCAACTCTACAGAGGAGGAAAAAAGATGGTTAGGTTAAGTTCCCTTCCTAAGGTTGCATAGGTAATAACTCTAAATTAAGGTGTGGTGGGAGCTCAACTTCTTAATACTTAGTAATGTGCTATGTCTTTTTATATCACAGTTTTCTTAATTTCTACCATCTAGGTCAGTGGTTCTCAACCTTCCTAGTGCCGTGACCCTTTAATACAGTTCCTCGTGTTTGGTGACCCCCCCAACCATAAAATTATTTTCATTGCTACTTCATAACTGTAATTTTGCTACTGTTAGGAATCGTAATGTAAATATCTAATATGCAGGAGGTATTTTCATTGTTACAAATTGAACACAAAGCATAGTGATTAATCACAAAAACAATATGTAATTGTGCATTGTGAAATGTTTATTTCTAATTACAAATAAATGAAATTTTGTCTTGAAGTGTGGTGTAGCATGGGGAACAGTCTTCACACCAGGTACTTGTATGTGGGCTTATCTGCATGTGTAGTATCTGCCTGGAGAAAGAGGAGCGGTGTCTCGGTTCCTAAGACCATCGGAAATGAGTTTTTTCTGATGGTCTTAAGCGACCTCTGTGAAAGGGTCGTTTAACCCCCAAAGGGGTGGTGATCCACAGGTTGAGAACTGCTTATCTAGGTGGTGGTGTAGTGGATTACACATTGGACTGCTAATCACAAGGTCAGCAATTCTAGTCTACTAGCCACTGCTCTGGAGAAAGATGAGCCTTTTTGCTCCCATAATGATTCACAATCTCGGAAACTTAGAGGTCTTTATCCCCTGCCCAATTGGGCTGCTGTGTGTCAGAATTGACTGGGTAGCAGTGAGTTATTTGCTAAATTATCTGAGAACTAGAAGACATTGTCTGTTCTTAGGCAGTTTATAATCTCATATATCAGCAATTAGGGAATAGAGGTTTGGCTCTCTTGGGCTAGACTGCTGCAATGAAAATCTTAAGAATCATTTATTTTTAAAGAAAGCAAATATTGATAATGCTCATTTTAAGTACAGTGCGGTAGATGGCTACATTTTACTGCAAAGAGTAATATCTTTAGATGTTATTAAATCTTATATAGTTTAAAGACGGTTATAGAAGGTTATGTACAAGGTTATTTCAAGCAATTTATTTAAATTCTTACATTGACTTGTTTTTGTGGTATTGGTAAGAGTTATTGCACCATAAAAAGAATAGCAACAATAGACTACCTGGGTTTGTCCTAATTTTATGTACTTTTTCTTCTTTTCAATAAAACTGGTTTATCTTTTATGCCTCTTTTTCTTAAATACATTTGAAGACATCTTTTGTTAAATAATTATTGTATCTTAATTTTTAGATACAAAATTTGGTTACCGTGGATCAGTAATGCTTACCCTATCTTTTAGTCAGTTCCTATATCTAATGGATTAGTCAGTGGATTGATAGATGGATTAAAAATGTGTAGAAATGAAATCTGAGAAATCAATTAAGGTAGAAATAGAACAACATAGTGAAAGCAATTCACAGATTATGAAAATAATCTTGGTTAATAGATCCTGCTTCACTGCCATTAATTTTAAGGAATTGTCTCCATTTTTCTGGATGTCAAAATTCTATTTTCGGGTGTCCCTGAAAAAAAGGAGCGATAAATTCTGGTAAAGAATTTTTTTTAAGCCTTGAGATGTCCCTTGGGCTGTGAAACACTGACTGTTGCGTTCTGGAGTATTTACCTGTGTCTGATGGCTCTGGTGGATAACCATTGAACTGCTAACTTCGAGGCTGGTGGTGCAGTGCTAATTTCAATGGCTGTTTCCACCAGCCATTCTACAGGAGAAAGATTGAGGTTATCTGCTCCTATAAAGATTTACAACCTCAGAAACAATACAGGGTCACCGAGTCAGAAATAACTCTGACAATGAATTGTGTTTTCTATTTTAATAATATTCTGATGACTTAGATGATAGTTCAGATATTTCTTTTGTCAAAATTAAAATCTTTTTTGTTTTTTGGTAAAATTTCAGCATTTCCGGGAAAAGTTGCCATCATATGGAATGCAAAAGGTAAAATATACACTATTTGATTTTCTTTGCAAAAATGCTCTTTAAAAAATAAAACTTTAAAAGCTGTATCTAAAAATGTAGGAACCTCTTCCTAAAGGTTATTATGAATTAGTTCATTGTTTTGAATGATTGAAGGACAAAAAGAAAAACTGTTCGTGATCATGAAATTTTCCCAGATTAATATCAATAATTGGAGGCTTCCGAATTTAAAAATAGAATTGTCACATATAAATTACTTTGAGTAAATTGGCTGTATTCAACTCAAGTCTCAACATTTTTACTAAAGATGAAACACCTGATAGTATGTTCTCTTACCTTGTGTTTTATCACAGAAATATCCTGTATCAAATAATATCGTTCCCTATCCCTCTTTGTTCTCCCAGTCTTTCTTTATTGAGGTCTTCATACCATTTATTACTTCTGGTCATTTCTCTGTGTCTACCGCTCCTAGGTATGTGTGCATGAAGACCCTGCCTAACTGGCTCAGGTTTATGGTTCTTGAACAGTGCCTGGCGTTTTAAAGGCCCTCTGTAGTGCTTGTTGAATAAATCACGTTCCACTTCAAAGTAATTAATAGTTACCATTCCAGTGTTCAGATGTGGAAATTATTCTGAAATGTGTTATAATGGAATGGGGACCCTTTAAAGGGGAGCTTTTCAAGTTAAATTGTAGATGAAAGTGAATGTGAAATACTCCTCTGAAACAGTTGGGTGATTTTGTTAACGAGTGTTTTTAATGTTAAAATACTAGTGTTTGTGTAAAAATTTTAAGGACAATCTTTACCCAAAAGGAGATTTATCATATACCTAAAGTTTGGGTATTTAAAAACTTTAATTATCTTTAGGGGAACTAATGAAATAAATTTTATTATTCTTTGTTCTCTGATAGTGTTGTTTAGAATTTGTCCTGACAGTACAGCTGTATCTGTGAAAAGTAATAAAAGTTCTGTAATGTCATTAATAGCCATTAAATGTGTCGGGAAGTTACCTCTAAACTTAAGTGACCCCAATTGCTAATGCCTTTTAAATTCACGTTATTTCTTGTGCGTGGTACTACATTCTTGTTAGTTAGTGTCTTCTTCTTGCAGTGGGTTTTTCTTTACCAGCACTTGATTCTGTTCATAATTTGGTTCTGCTTATATCTCATAAACAGGTAGATCCATATACCTAAACTGCTAGCATCGTACATAACCAATTTCTAAAAATGTTAAGACGTTTCTTAAGTTTTTTATCCTTGACTTGGTAGAATTTTGGTTGCTGTGTTTCAGACTTAATATGTAATGTTTTTTCTTTATTTTCTTATGAACTAGGAATTGGTAGATTTGATTGCTAACAATCAGGTAACGGTAATAAGTGGTGAAACTGGTTGTGGAAAAACCACGCAGGTTACTCAGTTCATTTTGGATAACTACATTGAACGAGGAAAAGGATCTGCCTGCAGGATAGTTTGTACTCAGCCGAGAAGAATCAGTGCCATTTCTGTAAGTAAACTGTCCTTTTTTAAATTCCCCTCCTTTTCATTCTCCTTCAGATAATCTTGCTGGAACTGACTGATGTGAAGATTTAGTCGTAATTAGATTTAAGATTTGTTTATTTGGTAGTAACAGAGAAGGAGCCCTAGTGGCGCAGTGATTAAGCAGTTGGCTACTACCTGAAAGGTTCACACTGAGAACGACCTAGCAGTCTCCTTTTGCAAAGAGTGTAGCCCGGAAAACTGTAAGGGGACAGTTCTCTGTCATATAAGATGCTTTGAGTTGGCATTAACAACACCCAGCAATAGCAAAGACCGAACGATTGAATGACCACCCTGCAGATAATAGATGTTTAAAGTAAGCTAAAAATCCAGACAAGTTTTAGTAGGAAAGGTTTAGAGAAGAGATTCGAACTACAAATAATGTCCATCATGAGATGCTTTCAGTTTTATACTTGATGCGTTCTGCTCTGTTTTCAGCCCTTAGTGAGTGTGTTTCTCAGTATGTCAGCACTGGATGCTAGTCAAAGATGGATGTTTTCTGTATTTCTCTTAATAATTGATTTTATTTTTCTGTTGAAGATACACATAGCAGAGCACACACCAGTCCAACAATCGTCTACTTGTACAGTTTAATAACCGCAACTAAGTTCTTGAAGTTGTACAGTCATTCTCACCTTTTTAGCATATTTTTAAAGCTACATTTTTGATGGTTGCTTTTATGAATGCAGTTAGCTGTTCAATAGGAAAATTAATCATGAAAAAGCCTTGCTTTATACCTTGTTTGGTTTTTCAATTAATCTGGGCTATCTGATACTGTTTTCATACATTCTAAATTTGAAGAAGGCAAACACAAATATAGAGGGTCTGCATGTTTGTTTTTTTGTTTTAGTTATATCAATATAGCAAATATATTTGATGTAAGTTAAACATTATTTAAAGATACTGGGGTTTCCTATAATATTTAACGTGTGAAGTGAATTTATTTCCATGTTACAAAATTCTGAGCATAAGTTTAAATTATGAAGATTTATGACTATCTTTGCTTTTGTGCTAGTACTGTGTATCACTTCTCAAATGATTTCATGTAGAATCTGTTTTCAGGAAACAGACGTTTTAGGAACACAACATATTTCCCATTACAGAATATTCATTTATAAGCTATTGTTTCTAAGAAATGCTGTAAGATCTGTACTTAAAATATTCACTTATATGGCAGTTATAATATATGTTGACAATAGGAAGCTCTATAATGAGGTTACTTTTGTTTTAATCTCTCAAGGCCTTTTGGAAGCTAAGCAGTTTCAAGTAGCAAAAAGTAAAATAATGGTCAAATTAATATGTACTAGATATAAATATTTTTTTATATTATAATATTTTTTTCATTTATGCAGAGTTGATTTTTGGCAACCATGACTTTCCGAACTCAACCCCAAACTAGGAAATCAGCAACACTGATTATCACCAGGAGAAACAAAAGATAGTAGCTTGTATTCAGTCTTAAATTATACTCAGTTATAAGAAACTATGATGTCCAACTATTTTAAATAAAACAAGATGGAAGATAAAAATTAGAGTCTGCTAAAGGGCCAGGGTGACAGTGCAGGTTAAACATTGAAGTGCTGTCCTAGAGGTCAATAATTCAAACTCACTACTTTATCCACTGAGAAAAGATGAGGCTGGGTGCTCACATAAAGTTTTTAAGTCTTGGAAACCCTGTATAAGGTCAGGGTGAGTCAGCATCGACTCAATGGCAGTGGATTGGTTTTTGTTTTTGCTAAAGGAAGGCACTTTAAAAATAGCAAGGAAGGAAAATCTGACCTTGAAGGACATTATAAGAGGAAATAAAGGAAAAGTGTAAGAAGCAGTCTACAGCTCATAAGTGGAGCACACACACAAATTTAGGTAATCTTAGATTTTAATATATATAGCTATGAATTATTTTTGTTATTGACTTCTTTGAACACCTGAAGAAGAAACTTTATAAACAACCCCAATTTTTTACTGGTGTTCTGGATATTTGTTCAAACAGAAACTGTGTGTGTAATTACTGATTTGAATTAAAGGTTGCTGAGCGAGTGGCTGCAGAAAGGGCTGAGTCTTGTGGCGGTGGTAACAGTACTGGCTACCAGATTCGTCTCCAGAGGTAAAGACTGTGCACTTCTTGTTACTGGTAGATTTGGACCGGCATTTCTAAATGTGCGTGTATATTACGGACTGGTTTAATTTTTTTTTTTCTGCACTTGAATTAGTAGACTGTCCCTTTCCCTGAAAGGAGTTGTTGGTGTCCTTTACCTTTTAGGACCACCTGTCCACTTCCCTGGTTTTATTTATTTTGCCATCTGAGTGTTCAGTATCTTTTGTGCCTTGTCTCACTCCATTAGGTTTCTCTAACCATCTTCTGGAGTTCAAGATTGCATTTAGGTTTTTAAACGAGCAGTTTTCACAGAAATTTAGGCCACTAAGTGATCCATATAATGTTACCTTTAAAACCAAGTCATTAATATTATATTGTAATCATCAAAATAATGTGTAATGAACTTGAATGTAGCATTTTCTACTGCTGTGGTAGGTGTTAGCATAACTGAAACAAAAGTATAGCTCTAGTAACGAGTTATAAAATTAAAACTTTTGTAATACATGGTTAGTTTTTAGAACATGGTAAGTTTTAGAAAGAATTAATTCATGTTCTTCCCTTGTAGTCGGTTGCCACGGAAACAGGGCTCAATCTTATACTGTACCACCGGAATCATCCTTCAGTGGCTCCAGTCAGACCCGTGAGTGCGTTTCATTAAGTTAAATATTATCACAAAATAGAATTAACGTGGATTTTCCTAATTGTGGTAGACAGTTAAGTATTATACTGAGTTATGTGCTTTCCTCTTCTGCTTCAGGCAATTAACCAGTGTGAGTCATATTGTCCTTGATGAAATCCATGAACGAAATCTACAGTCAGACGTTTTAATGACTGTTATTAGAGATCTTCTCACTTCTCGACCTGACCTGAAAGTAATATTGATGAGTGCCACATTGAATGCGGAGAAATTTTCAGAATATTTTGGTAGGTAAAGTTTAATGGTGATTAGTAAAAATATCTCAAAACCACGGAATTTAGAAGAATAACTAACTAACATCTTTAAGCATTCCATTTAGAGACAGCATAATTTTGGCTTGTCAGAGATGGAGATAAATTTGTAATGGAGAGTAACATTAAACCATTTCCATTTTATCAAAAGTAACTTCTGATACTGTGAGTCAATAACATTTTAAGTGTAATATGAACTTAAATAAACCTCATTCCTACTTGCAACAGTTTCTAGATGTATTGTAATTTTTTTTAATTAGACTGCTTTAAACTGAGCAAATAAATTTGTGTACATAGTCCTTAGAGTTCAAAATAGGACCTTGGGACTGTCGTTGGAGAAAATTCTCTATCATTTCTATCACTTTACCACTGCCGTAATGGTTACATATTGGGCTGTGATCCGCAAGGTCTGCAGTTTGAAACCCCTAGCTGCTTTTCGGGAGAAAGACAAGCAATTCTATCCTATCCTATAGGGTTGTTATGATTCAGCATTTACTCAATGGCAGTGAGTATCAAAGCCTACAGTTGGTGAAAGAATTTCCTCTGCACTTATGCCTTTGTAGGAGAAATCTTCACTTTAGATTCAAATGCCATGGCAACTAGTATAATGCTAAGTTTAGTTAATGTTACTGCTGAGTAATTAATTTTATTTTAGTGTTATCCTAATTTGAAGATGAGAGGAGTGAACCTATTTTAAATATTAGCAGCAGCACCAATGCTCTTTAGTGAAGACGTGTAACTGCTGCTGTTCTTTTCGGGGTGGGGGGGACAATGTAGCTTCTTAGGGCTACTTATAATGTAAATGGCATTATAGATTCCAAGCCACAAATTTGAATGGGTTTTGGTACAGTTTTGTGATTTTTCTTGTGGTTTGGAAGCATGTTTTGTGATTTCCCCTTGCCTGTCCTCTAATGTCATGGGATTGTATGGCAGTTTGCTAAGACTTGCTTTTGGAGCATTTGCCGTGTCCTGGATAGTACATTTGGTACTCTGTGCTTTTACCCTCATCATAATCTTGTGAGATGGGTACTATTTTTATTCCTAGTTTTACAAATGAGAAAGATATTTGAGAGCAATTAGGAGCTTACTTTAGATTACATATTAAGCAGAGAAATGAAAGGGTTTGAATGTAGATTTGTCTAGCTTTGAAGAACTTGCTTTCACAATGATGCCACAATCTCTCTTGTTTAAAAAATCTGGGTGGTTCTGTGTGTTAGGTATTGAACTGCCAACCAGCGACTCCTCCAGAGGAAGAGGTGGCTGTCTGTGTGCTCCTCTGAACATTTATTGTCTTAGAAACTTTGTAATAGGTCCCTATGACTCATAGTCAACTAGATGGCAGTGGGAAATTTTTTGGTTGTTTCTTGGGGGGTTTTTTGCATGGCTTGGACAGGGGTACTATAGGGAGAGTCTCTATAATTGGGAGAGGGAGGGAAGTAAAATGTAATACAACAATGTTCAATAAATGTTCTTGTATTTGTTCTTAACGAATCCTTTAAAATGTATTCCATTAATCTTTAGCACTTTGTGAGGTAGATTTTGGCATGTCTTCCCTTTTCCCTCTCTCTCTAAATATCAAAACTTCGAACTAAGATTATATTGTGCTTAAGTATATAAAAGGGGAATTTTGAAAGACAGAGCTATAATAATCAACGCAGATAGTCTGACCTCTGATTCATTATTGCTTTTGTTTATAGTGTGAACTACATGTACTTGTTTTTTTTTCTTTCTTTTTTTTTTCTTGTATAAGCTGAGTTTTTCAGCACATTTTTTTTTGTTTTCATATCTTTTTTTTTTTTACTTTATTTATTTATTTATTTATT